GGTGACTTGGGCTATGTAAGCCAGGCCATTATCGGACCCCATTGATAGTGGGAGGCCAAATCAAGGTATGATCTCATGCAATAGTCTTTTAACTACCACTAAGGCTGACTCAGACTTAGTAGGGAAAGCCTCTACCCAGCCAGTAAAAGTGTCTATTAATACCAAGAGATAGTGGTACCCGTGTAAATCAGGCTTTACCATGCCATGAATTCTACTTCCCAATGTTCTCCTGGAAAAATTCTTCAATGTTGGGTGGTCTCTAGCATAGAACTCTTGGCTGAGTTGACTAACAATCACTGTAGGCATCTGGAGCTCAAAGAGGCAGTCAGTTTGCAGAGTTTTGGAATAAAAACCGAGTTCTGAACAATTCTACAAGTTTAGTTCCCCCTAAATGGGTAGTCTGGTTAGCCCGGTGTAACAGCTCCCGCCCTAGTGCCCTAGTGCCTCCGGTAACAGTACTCATTTATCAGGTAACTGGTACCAGCACCCTGGGGTGGGGGACTTTACTCCAAGCTGAGATGCTAACTGTAGGTCTTTCTTTGTGTAGACTGGTTCTGACAAGGTCGGAGGGACTAGCATCAGAGCAGTCACTTCCTTGGTTGGCCCCTCTGATGTGGTTGCTATTTTTCGAGTGGCTTGATCTGCCAAACTGTTTTCTAAGGTGACAGTGTCATTTCCTATCTGGTGAGCCATGCAATGATTAATAGTAACTCGTTGAGGCAGCCAGAAAGCTGCCAGCAAGTCTAGAATCTGTGGAACATTTTTAATCTTAGTCCCAGCTGAGGTTAAGAGACCTTGCTCCTGATAGATGGCTCCATGTACATGTACAGTAGCAAAAGCATATCTACTGTCAGTAAAAATGTTTGCCCTCTTCCCCATGGCTAGTTTTAGCCTCTCAGTCAAAGCAAACAAGCTCCGCCTTTTGGGCAGAGGTGCCAGGCTCTAACCGCTTAACCCAGAGTACCTCCTTATTGGTGGTCACTGCTGCCCTGGCCATTCGTTTGCCATTCTGGATGAAGCTGCTTCCATCGATGAAATAGTTGTCAGCATTTCCCAAAAGCTGGTTGGTAAGATCAGCTCGTAGGTTCTGCTGCAGTTCGAGGATATCGGCACACTCATGGAGAGGTGTCCTTTGTTCCTCCAGGTCATCATCAGGCATAAGGGTGGCTGGGTTTAAAGCTGAAGAAGTTTTGAATATCACTGACTCTGGGTCTAGAAGCAGGACTTGACAGTGTAGAATTCTGGCGTTCAAGAGCCTTTTTTTTTTTTTTCAGGAGGGGTTTTGATAAGAGTCTCTAAACTGTGAGAGGTTACCACAGAAATCACTTGCTCAAAGTGAGTTTCTTCGCCTCCTTAAGTAACATTGTCACAGCAGCTAGTATTCTTAGACAAGGGGGCCATACTCCTGTCACTGGATCAAGTCTTTTGGAGAGGTAGGCTATAGGCCTCTTCCAAGGGCCAATGTCCTGAGTTAGGACCCCTTTGGCAATGTCCCTGAGTTTATCTATGAACAAGGTGCATGGCTTGGTAACATCAGGGAGTCCCAGGGCTGGGACCTCTGTCAAGGCTGCTTGAGCTGCTGGAAGGCCTGTTCACATTCATCAGTCCAGTTCAGTGAGTTTTGAGTTTCTTCCTTATGGGAGTCATATAGAGGAAAGCTTTTCAGTAAAATTTAGCCTACAGTATCCAATCGCCCCCAGAAACTCTCGTCTGTTTTTAAAAATTTTCTCTCATAGAGCAATTCTAACACCTTGGTTATCTTTTTGTTGGTAGCTTCTTGTAAACTTTCTAGTTCTCAAAGACCTTTTGTGCTGCTATCTCTATTAACTGGCTGAGAGGCATTCCCTCAAACCTCTCAAACCTTTGCAATTTTTGTCTAATATGTGGGGCTGACTGAGTTGCAAAGAGAACAACTGGCGATACTGGGAAACCTCCTTACCTCTGTCCCATGTCCAATTGGGGTGGGACAAAAGGAGAACATGGTTTTGGCACTCTGGATCAGAGAGCCAGCTTCATTTGGATGGCACACTGCTTTTTTGTCCAAGGATGTCATGTGGCAGGCCATCATTTTACTGAAATTATATTCTTAACAAAAAAGGGCTTTTTCATAGGTAACAAAATTGTGCTGCATAATCTCCCAGATGTTCACAGCACATGCAAGAACTTGTATCTTATCTCTAGTATCACCTATAATCTCATTTTAATGGAAACATTTTGCAGCAAAGTGCAATCTTATGAATACTTTTACCAAAACTGATCTAATACTGTCAAATTCTGAACACATTTACTTCTTGTCAAACCTGTTATTTGCAGTACTATAAACCAAGACAAATAAAATTCACATCCTCTTGAGTCTTCTACAACTTACAATATACCCCCCAAGTTAAGCTTTTATCTTTTTCCACATTCTGGCACAGCCAGACATTTTTACTTGAAGACAAAACCACTTTCTTTGTCCCTCTTTTTTTACTATTACCAGTCAATTACCTTTCCTCTCGCTTCTCAGACAACATCAAAACTCTCAAAAAAACCCTTGAAGTCACTTTTTAGTAGTCTAAAACATACTTAATTATTTTATGTCTTTTTACCACATAAAAATGCTGTATTTTAAAAAACTGTAACTTTTTAACTGGCTCAATTACAGTATGACCTGGTTTTTACTTGGTAAAGTTGATATGATTCTTAAAAACCATATATATACATATATGTGCACATATGTTTACATTTTAACCAGAAAGAAATACTCTTTTTAAAAGGCATGCAGAGGTTGCAAGTAATCAATTGATGACTAAGACATTAAACAAGGCGCTACAACATTAAAGACACAAAGTTTGCTTCGTGCACAGTTTGGTGAGCTAAAGGAAATAATTTTTCTTATTATGAACCTTGAATCTAATAAGCCATATGGATGCTGCAACAGAAATGGGCAACAAGCCCTAAGTTAGTAACAAATTCAAACAGGCAAACAATTCTAAAGTACAAAAACTCTGAACATAAGTATCTAAATCCCTTTGTCCATTTTGGGCTCGTAGAAGGGGTTCCTAGGAGAGAATGTTCTGTTAGATTTGGGGTAACCAAAAGGAGAACAATTAGAACAAATGGACACACAATCAAACATACAAGACAAGACAAGCTGAAGCAAAATGGCCTTTGCTCAAAAATTAGTCGAATTTTGGGATCTGGAGGAATTAACAAATTAACCAACAGAGTGGTTCCCCACCAGGGGCAGAGTCACAAATGGCCCAAAAACCAAAAACCAATTGACTCTGTCCTCGGGAGGTTCCACTCCCCAAAATGAGGGTGTCCCCTTCCCAACGGAGCGATTCCCCACATGGGGCAGAGTCACAAACGGACAGAATTTGTCCGAAAAGCCAATTGACTCTGTCCTCAGGACGTCCACGCTCCCAAAGTTTGAGGGCATCCCCTCCAAGAATACAACTACAACTGACTGCGGCCCAAACAAACCCCTCCAAAGTACTTACTTTCAGATGTTCAGAAATAGGTCTGGGGTCTTGCTCCCATCCCGGACGAGCCCCCAAATGTGATAACTTGGACTCCGGTATAAAATCCAAGGAAGCAAGAAATTAAAATTTAAGGAGCAAAGGCTTTATTAGGTCAGGCCTGATGACGAGTCTCTGGGAGCCAATTTGGACACTGCGCACCTGACAGCTAAAAGTTAGGGCTTTTATCTTTTTTTTTTTTAGGGCTTTTATCTTGTAAATCCACCAACAGCTGCTGGTCACACAATATAAGGAAGGGGATGGGGGTGTGGTGCAAACAGAAACGGTGATTACACGTCTTGGGAAGAGCAAGATCAGGTAAGGGTTGTGCTAACAAGCAAGTCTCCCTGCATACAAGCAAGTTTAAATAAGAAGAAATCTTGTTTTTCTTAGCAAAGAATAGAGAAGTCTAACAGCAATGAACACCCTTAGTTACCTTACTTTAGCACCACAACTGTTATTTGTAGAGGGCAACAATGGTTAACATATCAACTAGGTAAGCTTTTACAATTCTTTACACAGGAGAGCATTGATTAACATATCAATCCTTTACCCAGAGGGAAAAGGAAAACACATATACATTAAGACCAAGTTACAGGTATTGCTATGATACAAATATAAAGAAGCTATTTTTGTGAAGAATAGTACAATCTAATGCAATCTAATGCAATTAACACAATTTGTGACGGACCACTGGGTAGGGAAGGGGGTTGTCAGGAGCTATTACCTCAGGCCTTTGTTTTATGGCCTTTCGGGAAGTTAAAACTTAACCTAGTTAGATGTGAAGGGGGAAGAGGAGGGAAAGCAGCAGGCGGCGCTTATACAGAACAGACCTTATGGCGCTATAGTTAGGGGGCCTTAGGTTATAACAGCACTTACTTTGCTTATAGTGCTCCCCTGACACTAAAAAGAAAGGTACCGATTTATATCATGTAAAACGTCTTTCACTATTTACTAAGTCGAGCACGTGATGACATGTGTATATACGTATGAATTTTACATGTATGTTTGGAGATGAAATGAAAAGAATCTTTCAAAGTTCACCATGCAAAAAATACATTCATCAGATAGATGAAAGAATACCAGAATCTCTGTTGGGGATTTTAGGTGAGGGGAGAGACCTGGGGCTGTGTGCTCCAGAAGTAATGTTTCCAAGGAAACACATTGCACAAAGAACTGCTTAAGCAATACGCTTCTGAAATGTTTAGCATCGGCATAGAAGCTAACAATGTTGAACGCTGGTGAATGAGGGTTAAGAGCTGAGGAAGCAAGGCTCAAGCGTGTACGCAGAGCAGCATGACAACTCTAGCCTCACCCAGGGTGTCTTCCATCATTCAATTCTTTCAGCCTCATCCACCAGACAGGGGTTGGGGGAATGGCACAAATACCTTGGTAAGGAGCAAAAAACAACACTGTTCCCTTTCCAGTTGCCAGTTGTGAGCTAGACTGAGCCAGCATTTTTTTTAAAAGGAAAAGGGGGCCTAATCCTATCTCAGGACATCACTCCCACTGCAATGTGAGCCTCCCCTGCAATCCTCCAATTGAGTCACTGGTCACAGTCCGACCATGCGCAGGCTCTTTTTTTTTTTTTTTTTTTTAGCCTGGAGGTGACTCTGAAAAAAGTCACCTCGGGCGCCTGAGGCGCGATCCCTTGGAGCTGGTGTACTTGGTGACAGCCTCGGTGCCTCGGGCAGCAGCAGGCGCACGGCCGTGGGCACCTCTCCCGACAGGATGGTCAAGCGCTTGCTGTAGTGCGCCAGGCGCGAAGCCTCGATGGCGATGCGCTCGAAGATGTCATTGACGAAGGAGTTCATGATGCCCATGGCCTTGGAAGACATGCCTGTGTCGGGGTGCACCTGCTTCAGCACCTTGTAGACATAGATGGAATAGCTCTCCCTGCGGCCGCGCTTGCGTTTTTTCCTGTCCTTCTTCTGAGCCTCGGTGATGGCCTTTTTGATCCCTTTCTGGGGGCCAGAGCACATTTGGACAGGTCAGGCGTGATGGCAGATGTCTCCGAACACACGGGGCGCACAGACCAACATTATTTGTGTGTTGTATTCAAATAAAGGATCAAAAAAAATGTGTCTCTTCTGATAGAGTGGAATTACGTAATCTCGGGGCAAATTATATGCATATTAGGCGATGCTGGGTTGTTTTCCTGATTGGCTACTGGTGTCAACCAATCCGATTGCTCCAACTAGCCTACCTCCGGGTCATTTATAAGTACTTCCTTTGCAGCCAGCCACCCTGTTCGCTTCTGTTCTGCTGTTCCGTTGCATGATTCTGATTTTTCCAGAATTTGAAATATCTGGCCCAGGCAAACAGGGAGGCAAGGCGCGAGCCAAGGCTAAGTCGCGCTCGTCACGCGCGAATCTGCAGTTCCCCGTGGGCCGCGTGCACCGCCTGCTCCGCAAAGGGCAATTACTGGGAGCGCGTGGGCGCCGGCGCCCGGGTGTACCTGGCCGCGGTGCTCCAGTACCTGACGGCAGAGATCCTGGAGCTGGCAGCTGGCCATCCGCAATGACGAGGAGCTCAACAAGCTGCTGGGCCGCATGAGCATATCCAGGCCGTGCTGCTGCCCAAGAAGACCGAGAACCTGCACAAGGCCAAGGGCAAGTGAGACCCTCGGCCAGCAACGGACATCAAGGCTCTTTTTAGAGCCACCCACCATCTCAAGAAAAGAGCCGCAGCCCCCGCTGCCAGCCTCTTGCCAGTTTCCCACATTCCAGAAAGACCAGGAATGTAAGGTGGCCGGGCTCCCGTGGACCTGTGGCCCCTGCTTAGTCCCTACCGCCTCCCGCTGTAGTGTCCCCTCCCCGAGAGTACTGGCAAAGAATCTGACTCGAGAAGGGTCACATTTAGACATAGTCAGAAATGCCTGTGTTCTGCTGGGGATGACGGTCAAGTACATTCGCCTGCCAGTATTTTGAGAGTATTCTCAAAACGCTAGTATTTGAGCTAAGACTTGAAATAGCTAAATTTTAACAAAGTAAAATTCTCCAGAGACAGGATCTGATGTTGGACTGGGATTTCCAAAGGTCTCAGTAAAGTTTATTTTTTAATACTAAATTGCCATGTTTTAAAATGGGTGGTAAAGGCAAAAAACAACACTGCTCCCTTTCCAGTTGCCAGTTGTGGGCTAGACTGAGCCAGCATTTTTTAAAAAGGAAATAAATGTGTCACTAAGCAAACATTGCACTTACTTTGCTTACAGGGCCCCTGACACTAAAAAGAAAGGTACAGATTAATATTATGTAAAAGGTCTTTCACTATTTACTAGGTTGAGCACGTGATACACTGTATAACATTGAAATAGGATACTTAAATTTAGTATCCTAACTAAATTTAATTTAATGTAGCTTATAATATTTAATTTAATATAATGTAGCTTTAATTTAATATAGCTTATAATCAAGGATCCTCCTAAATTGCTCAGACCAGAAATGAAAATAATTAGTACACTGAATTTAATAAAATTTTGCATTTATTTTAATAAATAAAAATGTGATGAATAGCAAATTTAAGCTTTTAGAACCAGAATGAGTAATAATTGTTCATGAACTCCACATCCTGTTATAAAGGACCTCATGGGGATTAAATGAATTATCTATAATACCTCCTTTAAAGCATAGCTTAAAATAAAATCAGAGACACTTTTCCTTTTTTCTATGCTGTTTTTCATTATTTATAACAAATATAGGCCAGCAAGACAAGAAGTATTATATAATACATATTTTATAATATTACATATGTTATGTATTTATTCTGCTAATATTAGACCTACTCAAGGTTCCCCAGATACCTTCTGGAGCTAACCACAGATCTTGCCTTTAGAAAACAAATATTTCTAAGTAATTATTTGTGTAAAACTTGGTAAGTCACAGCTCTAACCCTCTCTTAAAATACTCACAAGTTCGCATAGATCATTTACCACACATTCACCATTTCAGTAAAACAACACTGCAAGGATCGGCCTCTCAGAGATCTAACCCTTCCACTTCTTGTGAGAGCCTTCAGTTCTAGCTTAAATTATTATGTAGTCATAGCTCCATGTTGACATGTGTCCAATCTGTATGCCTGGCTTAAGTGAAGAGGAATTGTCTTGGGCAGCATAAAATATTTAATATAGCTTATAAAATACAATATGTAACAAAACTTCCCTTTTTATTTTTATAACAAAGGCACATCCAATCACAGTGTGAATACTTTTTTGGGTGGAATGCTGGAGATTAAACCCAGAGCCTTTACACTGAGCTACATCCCCTGTCCTTGAATGAAGCACTGATTCACACTACCATACAGATGAATCTCAAAAACATTATGCTCCATGAAGTAAGCCAGGCACAAAACATACATATATTGTATAATCTCATTTATGTGAAGTGTCAGCACAGGCAAATTGGGTGAGACAGAAAAATTAGTTGTTAAGAGCTGAAGGAGAGAGAATAGACACTACATAATGGGCACAGGGTTTCCTCTTGTGACAAAACTGTTTGGAACTAGATGGAGGTGATAACTGCATGACCTAGGGGATGTGCTAAATGCTCCTGGGTTGTTTACTTTAAAATGGTTCTGACAGGGAGAAAAAAAAACAGACTTTGAGGGAACTGGAAAGGGCAAAGCAGACTGATGCTTGAAAGGAGCCTGCCACTTCCTGTCACTTGGCAATGCCACAGCCCCTCATGCAGAATGGGAGCAGCACTGCTCTCCAAATGCAGTAGCACATGGGGAGGGGGCAAGCACCTGGCGGGGCCCATGCTGCCATGGCCACAGTTTACTCTTGTCTGCTCTGCTGTGCCCTCCACTGGGTCCTTTGTGTGGGGAGCAGATCCCTGGCCATTGTGCTTCCGGCACACGCACCTTTGTCAGGATTATCTTGGTTACTCTGCACACATCCCTGTGGATGGCCACTGTACTGAGAAAGATGAGAAAGAGAGGTCTGGAGGAAATGGAGGTCCAGAAGGGTGAAATTTGGCACTATCTCTATTGGTAGTGTTCGTGGTACCCCTGGACTCTGTGTCCTGCTTCCCTCTGCTAGGTATGTCTGTCTCCCAATACACACCCAGGTTTAGTTTCTCTCTCATCTGCTGGGTCAGGTCTTACTGGCTCATCCAAATGCTCAATAATCTCTCTTCTCAAATAAGTAAAAAGAAACCTACTATATGATCCAGCAATCCACTTTTGGGTTTATGTCCAAAATTTAATGAAAATGAGTATGTGAAGAGACATCTACACTTCTATATAGCACTTATTCACAACAGCCGAGATGTGGAATTAGTCTAAATGTCCTTCAAGGTACAAGTAGATAAAGAAAATACATCTAGATAAGGCATTTAAAAAGGATATTCTACCATTTGTGTCAACATGAATGAACCTATACATTGTCCTTCACAGAGGATATTTCAAGACCTTCTTCAAATTCAAAATCCATGGGTGCTGGGTCTCTTACACTAAATGTCACACTGTATGGATATACCCTATGAACATTCTCCAACATAGTTTAAATCATCTTGAAATGACTCCTAATGCATAATACACTGTAAGTGCAATGTAAATAGTTGGTATCTATATTGTTTAGGAAATCGTGACAAGAAACATCTCTATACATTTTCACTACAAAGTTTTTCAAAAATTTTGATTCTAGGTTATTTAAATCTACAAATGTGAGGGCCAACTGTACATGATAGAATTCAGTCATAAAAGGAAGAAAATCCTGTCATTTGCTGATGATGTGGATGAATCAGGAGGACATGCTAAGTGGGATAAGCCAATCACAGAAAGATAAATATTACATGATCTATTTCTATAGACTCTCCCACTGAGTCATCCTTGGAACGTAAAAAAGTCAAATTCATAGGAACCTGAGAGGAGAATGGTGGTTACAGGCTTAAGGGTAGTGTCATTCAGATGTTTAAAAAGATCTCCCAATTTTTGTACAATGGACCGCCCACCTCCTCTTAGTTTCTGGGATCCCTTAAACTCTAAATGAACGTGTCACTTTAGGTGATAGCAATTCTGCAGAGAAATCAGTGTGGACTGTGCTAAGCTCACTAGCATTCCCATTTTGCACATGCATCCCAGATGCCCTGATGCTCATAGTCAGCCTGGCCTTCCTGAAGAGTTTCTTTTCTGTATGTTTGTGCTCAATGACTAGGAATAAGGAAAGACTTCCCATCTCCCTACCACTTTGTCAACACAGTGTGAAAAGTGTTAGCAGTGTTGGGGCTGAGGATTTAGCTCAGCGGCATAAGTGCCTGCCTTGCAAGCAGGCAGTCGTGAGTTCGATCCCTGGAATCGATAAAAACGAAAAAAGACAAAAAAAAAAAAAAAAAAAAAAAAAAGAAAGAAAGAAAGAAAGAAAGAAAGTAAGGGAAAACAGGAAGGGCTCCAGCTTGAGTAGCAGCTGAAGAGTGCACACTCTGATAAAGAGGGTCAGCCAGGCCTCCCAACAAAGGACCAGGCCAAACTCATGGAGTGCTGAGGCAGCAGAGTTAGGCGGTATGGGAGACATGCTGGCCGCGCGCTCACAAGAGACAGGACAGGATGCCTTCTGCTTACTAGAGACCATAAGGCATCCTGCTGTCATCATATTTCCCTCAGCTTCAGATGCTGACAACTGTCGGGGGCTCCATAAGCATCCCATGTACCCCATACCATCTCCTCTCCGCACCAAGCTCTGATTCCAGAAGTCCCCTGATTTCAGAGATTTTATGTTAGGGTCACATATACCCCAGGCATGAGGGCTAAAGTTTGTTCTCCCTAGAAATGAAGCCCTTTCCTCCTGTCAAAAAGCCATGCTAAACAGCAGTCAGATTCAGGACCCTGGGTTCCCAGGTCCACACTACTGGAAAGCCTGTAGGCCCCTTGCTCTGGATACCCAGAAACACCTGACCCGCCCTTCATTCCCTTCCTAAGTACATTATTTTGCTCTGGTTTTTCAACTTAGATCTAATATGTCACCAAAAGTCTCACATTCAGAGGTGGGGCTTTCCAAAGATGACTGGACAATGAGGGTTGTAACTTTATCTGTGGATTACTCCACATTGAGATCATAATTTGCTGGCATTATTAGGGTGTAATGGAAAATTAAGGGATGGAGTTTAGTAAAAGGGGGCAGTGTGGTCTTGGGGCCTGTGTCTCATCCTGTCCCCTCTCACTTTCTATGCTCCCTGGCTGCCACAAGGCCAACTGCTTTCTTCTTCTGGGTTCTTTCGCCTTGGCACAGGCCTACAGCAATGAAGCCAGCTGACTGTGGACTGAAACCATGAGCTGAAGTAATCCTTTCCTCCTTTAAATTGCTTGTTTCACGTGTTTGGTCCCACAGATGGAAAGCTAACTAACCTGACCTCCCCTCAGTTGCATGTGCCTAGGGTCTCTGCTTCCCCTCTCCTGCTCTGACACATTCACGAACACTTCTGTGTCTAAACTTCTTAGAGAGATTCAGTTAAAGTCATCAAACTAATAAAAATGAAGCACAGTTTCTATATTTTTATGATTTGTGTATGTTAACTCTTCACAAACTAAATGTATTCTTTCCTTAGTTTTATATTGATCTGGCCCGCGGATCAATCCGTGGGGTGTACCTGGAGGGGGAATGGGGATGAATAGAACAGGGTGGGAGACAAAGAGAGATTGAGACAAGTTGAGGAGTCCAATCAAGTCTCGTTTATTCAGGAAGTGGTTGCAGCTTTTATGGGCCAAGGGCGGGCAGGTGGGACAGGAAGAGGCTATGGGGTGGTTTCTGATAGGTCATCGTCACATCCGGATATGTGACGTAAGCAGGAGAGGATTATGGGTAATGTAGGCAGGCACATTATGTGTCCATAGGAGAGAGAGGTGGGGAGGCAGCAATGGGGCTGTCATACCGCTCCCTACATTATATTTATTTATTTAGTCTCTTTGAGACAGGGTCTCACCATGTAGCTCAGTCTGGACTTGAACTCGTTTTGTAGTCCAGGTTGGCCTTCAACTCACAGCAATCCTTTTGCCTCAGCCTCCCCCAGTGCTGGGGTCACAGGTGTGTGCCCTATTGCCCAGCAACTAAATGTATTCTAACCCTAATTATTGTAGTCTGATGCTCAGAGGATTATACTGTGGCTGGAGAGACCCTTTAAAACTTAGAATGTCCTGAAAATTTTTAAAAGCATTTTTTTCTTTCTGAAATCAGTTTCTGGATTTTGTTTTTGCTTTGTTTGCATTCTAGACACAGATTCAACTACACTCCAAAAAGTGTTGCTCTTAAAAGTTGGTATTTTTGACAAAATTGAAGAGACAGAGGCAGGTATCTGTAGAGGAAATGACAAAATGCCATTTCTATTTTGTGAGTGATAATTTCATACATGCATAAAGAGCTTGGAGTCAGGTATTCTTTTTTATTTTTAGTTGTTCCTGATTTATTGTTTGTCTCTCCTCTGAGCCATATAAAAATGAGGATTCCTTCATAGTTTTATCCAGGAACCTAGAGCTCAGGAAAACGCAACACTGTCATCTTGTCAACATGACATGCGGAGTTCTGGGTTCTAGAAGGCTCTTTCTGCCTTAGCCAGTGATGGGGGTGGAGGTGAGAGGAAGACAGCACTTGAAAGAAGAAAGAGCATATCCACTGCCTCAACCAATCCCCCATACACACACACACACACACACACACACACACACACACACACACACACCAGACAGCTGGGAAGTCAGGAGTGAATATAAACTGTAGACTGCAGTCAGGAGCACCCCACTAGCCAATCAGAATGTTGCCTGCAATCACACCATATGGGGCTGGCCAATGAGAACATGGTAGGCTCTATAAAGGTGATTGATGTTGTAGGCTGAAGTAGCCATGTGGCTCGGACAAAGCAGACTGCACACAAGTCAACAGGTAGCAAGGCTCCACGCAAGCAACTAGCTACCAAGGTAGCTTGTAAGACTGCACTAGCCACAGGGGGTGTAAAGACGCCGAATCACTACCGACCTGGCACCGTGGCACCATGTGAGATTCGCCGCTCTCAGAAATCCACTGAGCTGCTGATCCGCAAGCTCCCAGGCCAGCGCCTGGTACCTGAGGTTGCTCAGGACTTCAAGACTGATTTTCACTTCCAGAGCTCTGCAGTGATGGCACTGCAGGCCTGCAAGTCCTACCGGGTGGGGCTCTTTGAGGACACCAACCTGTGTGCTATCCACGCCAGGCGGGTCACCATCATGCCCAAGGACATCCAGCTTGCATGCTGAATCCGCAGGGAGCGGGCCTAGGTCCCAAGGGCATCCACAGCATCCTGTTGTTGCCTGAAAGGCTCTGTTCGGAGCCATTCACTAGATCAGAAAAAGTGGCTGTAATTTGTGGTTCCCAGGCCTGAAAAGTGGCTCTTGCCTTTCTCAATTAGTTAAGCTTGAAAGATTGCATGTGTAATTTGGCCTATGGCTTGGTAAGAGATTGAACTAGTATACGTTGGTAATGCACTGTATCTGTTTAGGTTAGAAAATTTAGTGCCATGGGATAAAAACACAAGTTGAGTCTGCGTCCAGCTAGTATGAGCAGTTTGTGTAGTGTATGCTGAGTCTGTTTCCAGGTAGCAGACCAGTCATCTGAGTTTACTCTGCTTATCTGGTCCAGACAGTGGACCAGAAAGTGTGCTTCAACTGCTAATTTTGATTTAGAAGTTAATCTTGAGTGAACTCAGCCTGTCTCCTTTTAGAAGTCCAACTAGTATATTATTATTTTTATGTATGTCCTGGTAGGTTCAGAGGGTGGCTGGTGTGTGTGTGTGTGTGTGTGTGTGTGTGTGTGTGTGTGTGTTTTCTTTGGTAAAAGTCCTAGTGAATGAGTCCTAGTGAATTAATGACAAAACCTAAGTGAAGTCAACATTGGAAAATCCTAAAGTTCAGAATGGCACTGTGCCCTGGAAGTTACATCAGTTAAGTATCACCAGCTTTGATGGCTCAAGGGTCTGACACTGAAATGGGCTTCCCAACTTGCAAAGTAGACTTCTGGTTTCCTAGAATGAAAGAGGTGGGAGACCAACTAGCTAAGAAATCCTGCAACTGGGATCAGGGAGGGTTTGCTGAATCCACTTCTGGGGACAACTTGAGCATAGCAATGGTAATAATGTAAGGATTTTTACCCCTTCGACACATATTGGGATCATTTATACATCAAAATCAGTATTAAATTCATAGCTTAGTGCTAGGAATGCAGTGAATTAATCTAGTTGTTTCTGTGGTTGCCCACTGTTTTCAAGGTGCTTATTGTGAAGCAAAAGCCTGTAATAGACAGAAGCAAAGACAGTGAAAAATCACTCTTATAAGTAGTGAGGGGTGATAATATCACCAGTATGCAACTGTGGTATGTCCTGTTGATTCAAAATTCAAAAGCTTTAGGAGTTAAAACTGGAAATCATCTCTTTTAAATTTAAGGATATGTAAATTAAAGGGTGATTTCTTAGGAGCTACCCAAAAAACTTAGAACAATCAGAATCACTTTGTTCTGATTTTGAAAGTTCTGACCTTCATTATTAAACTAAAAAAATTCATCTGGATGTCATTTCTCTTCATGAAGTCCTTGTCTTGGCAACCTTTGGCTCTGTGAAGAGATAACCATATTTTGCTGAATGGCATTGGGGAAAAGGGATTTAGGCAACAGACTCCATTCAGGGACACTGGATGCATCTTAGTATAATATGATTTCATGAGGAAATTTGCCTTTTCCTGGGAGGGCCAGCTTCTTGAAGAGGAGATCCCTGTAATCCTGTTCTTCATATCCAAAGAATCTGGCCTTGTATGTTCTACTTAACATATGCCGAGTTTCCACAGTTTAATGGGCAGAGTAATGCATTAATGACTGAGAGGAACAGAAAGATGGGTGTGTGAGAACTGATTTGTTGAGGACTAAGATAGAGAAACATAAAGTAGCAGGGATACAGGAAGAAAGCAACCCAAGTTCCTCTGAATCATATGTATGAGTACTCAGGGAAGTCTTCTCAACACATATCTGAGTCACATGCAGAATGGCCACAATTCTGTTCTCTCGGCAGAGAAGTGTGGCTGGCATTTCCCCCAGAAAGCACGACAGGACCAACAAAGCCAGGCATTTGTGGGTTCGCAAGCAATTCACGTGGCTGGTCTTCAGATGACTCCTTGACTCTAGGGTGCTGACACCTGGGCAGGGTGGCTGCCAGCAGGAATGTGCCAGGTGGGCACCTAAGGACAGAGATCTAGTTGTTTCTGATTGCCCATTGTGGGTTTTCTTTTCTTTTTTTTTGTACCAGGGATCGGACTCACGACTTCATGCTTACCAGGCAAGTGCTTGAGCCACTGAGCTAAATCCCCAGCTGCCCATTGTGTTTTCTCTGAAGTCTCAGCATAGCTGGGATAGCTCAGGAAATGTTTCCTAAATACAAATAAGTACTACCATCTGGTGCAGTACAATCAGGTGAATTTTTGTTAAACACTTTCGATGTCTATCATAAGAGGGACACACCAGAGTGACAGCTATGTGAGGACATAGGGGGAAGATAGCATCTACAAACCAAGGAGTGGAAGCTCAGAGGAGTCAGCCACCGCCCCAGGTTTGTACCCCAACCTGAGCAAACTAATATGCTATCTTTATGATTAAAATGAATTCTCAGAGAATTTTCTGTATGCATGATGTCATTTTAGCCATGTGGTTTTCCAGCACTTCTCTTGTAAGCAGAAGACTCACCAGTCCAGTGTGCCCTGTACCAGGGTCAGTAGCGCCTCAGAGACTTGTCCTTCCTTGGGGACCCTCTGACTATCTGTGATTTAGATAACATATCCAAACCTACTTGTGTGTCTTTTTGAAAAGCTCTTTCTATTCCAAAGGTGTATTCACCCTTCCCTTTTAACTTTCTGTGTTTTAGGAAACTTTGGCATCCAACCAAGCAGGGTGTCCCACCCCAAGGCTATACAATTCCCAGGAACAATAAACAACCTAAAAAAAAAAAAAAAAAACCTAAAAAAAATTAAAAACAACCTATCAGGATTTTCAATTTTATATTCAAACCTGCTGTGTTACTGTCCTGTTACTGTGACAAAGTAATTCAGCTATCAACTTAGATGGAGAGTTTATCTTGTCATTCACTTGGTTTCAGAAGTTCCAGTCCTGGTTGCCTGGCTCCACTTGTTTTGGGGCTGTGGGAACAAGGGTCACAGTCACAAAGCAAGCTGTGCTAAGTCACCTGGTGAGAGGAGAACAGAGACAGGAAGGGGCCAGGAACCCAATACTCTCTTCAAGGTCGCACCCCAGTGACCTGATTTCCCTCCACCAGGCCCCACCTCCTACAGCCCCCACCCCACACACAATACCACCACAGGAGACAGGGGGAACCGCGGTAAGGCATTGTCTTCACCCCAAACCAGGCTGTCTACGGTAGTGCACCTTGAACAAAGCAGACTGGCACCATTTAACCTTTCACCACCTGGATTTCCTGCCCTCAGCCTTGTGCAGCCTCAGCTCAGTTTCCCATCTGTCCACCCTCCCCAGTATTAGGATTAGGGCTAGGAGCAGGGTTAGGATTACGCCTGGGGAGCGCTGTGGGCAGCACTGGGTCAGAGCCTCGGCTACCCGCCCAGGTTCAGCCTCTCTGCCTCCGGACCGGTAGGACTGGCAGCCTGGGGAGCTGCAGGGCTCACCTTCGCGCCCCGCCCTGCTCTCCTTGCCCCGCCCTCCTCCTGCAGGAAGGACCCCCATTTCTCTTCTACCCCTGTGCCCCCCACCTCGCTGACGCCACAAAGACCGTTCCCGCGACGTTGTCGCCCCAGCTCCACGGCGCACTCCCAGCCTCTCCACCGCCAGGAGTCCTGGCGCCCAGAGCCCCTCGACGCATCTTCCTACCTCGAACACCGCCCTGTCTCAGGGCGACCACACTGACCTGGGGACTCTGCATGAGCCACAAGGACGGAGTGACAACTCCTGAGATTAGGCGCCTGAGCCCCAGGATACCTAGGCACCCAGTCACTGGAGTGCATTCGGAGTGCATTTGGCTGCACAAACTGTGGGACTCTGTGGTTTAGGGATGTGGAGGAGAGCCGGGGCAGCCCTTGAAGTTTAAAGGTTCAAATCCTCCTCTGACCCTCCCAGCAAAGACTCCCACGCCCCGGCAAGTAGAAGGAAAAGCCTGTGGGTCTCTACTGGACAGGACTGCAGTGAGTACTCAGATTGACCCAATCACAGGCATCTGTGCATGCATGCATGATTTGTGTGTACGGGTGTTTACACAGGTGACATGTGCATCTGTATGTGTGTGTGTGCAAGATCATATTGATGTGTGCCTGTATGCATGTGCAATGCATATACATTTGTACATCCCCTGTAGATGTGTGTGCATCTGTATGTAGTTTTGTGCCCCTGCATGAATGGTCTCATCTTCCCTATGCTGTACCTCCCTTTCTAATGGAAAAAATTCACTTTCCCTCCTATTTTTCTTTGTAACTGAAGTTTAAGAAAGTTGTTGAAAGGCTCTTTACTAGAGCTTCTTGCAGAGAGAGTATCACACTAGGACAGGGATGGGGTTCAGTGCCAAGGGCCAAGGTAGATGGGGACAGAGAGGAAGCCTGGAAGGAAAGAGGCTTTTCCCTGAATGCACCTAGAGGTGCACAGGGATTAGGCTTCACAGGAGGCATGAAGACTTGGTCAGTTGTCCAGCAGGCTGGTGGCAGTGTAGGGCCTGGCCACATTTTGTGACAGCCAGAAGGGTCTTTGTGGCTTCTAGGAGGCATTTCTTCTTTGTTGTTAACAAACTGAAAGAGATAGTGTGGACCTCTAACACAATCCTCTGTAAAGGATCCTGGAAGCCTGTAGCACACAGAGCCAGCAGAGCCTAGGTCTGGGATTTGGCGCTAACCATGAGACCTCAACCTTCTCCCAGTGGAAACCCAGGAACCATGGATGCTGTGGAACTGGCCAGAAAGCTGCAAGAGGAAGCCACGTGCTCCATCTGCCTCGACTATTTCACAGACCCTGTGATGACCGCCTGTGGCCACAACTTCTGCCGCACCTGCATCCAAACAAGCTGGGAGAAGGTGAAAAGCAAGAAGGGGAGAAGGAGGCAGAAGGGGGTCTTCCCTTGCCCCGAGTGCAGGGAGATGTCGCCCCAGCGGAACCTGCGGCCCAACCGTCTGCTGACCAAGGTGGCCGAGATGGCAAGACAGCACCATGGGCTGCAGGAGCGGGACCTGTGCCCAGCACACCAGGAGCCCATCAAGCTGTTCTGCCTGGAGGACCAGAGCCCCATCTGTGTCGTGTGTAGGGAGGCGCGGGAGCACCGGGAGCACAGGGTGTTGCCTGTGGAGGAGGCCCTTCGGGAGTACAAGGTGGGGAGCAAAGGTCAGAGGCTGGGGAGGAAGAGCTGTTCAGGGGACAAGTAGCCCTCTGCCAGGGTTCTGGAGGCCCCAAGGGTAGGAGTGTGTTTGTGGGGGGCACGACACCACACCACTATACGGACTCTGCATCACCTACTGACTGAACCCTACCAGGGAAAAGCACTGTGACTTCTGGGACAGAACCAATGGGTGACAAGACCTCCAAGACCAGACCTACTCTGACCGTCCCTGAATGCTTTTCCTGGCAGGGCACTAGGGGACAACTGCCCTTATGTGAATGAGGAAAAAATTGAAGAGTGACAAACAAGCCCAGGGGCTCTGATGGGTGTGGGTAGCCAGGTGGAAAAGGGACTAGAGGGTGAGGGCCAGTTTCATAGGGTCCATTTGCACAGATTTCTTGGGTCAACCTCTGTCTTCAACTGTGAAGACAAAGTGCTTCCTTCTCTCCTGGCCCAGTTGCTTCTCTCCTAGTATAACTTATACATGATGGATTTTCTCCTTCCAGATTTTGTGGAAAGGAGAGAAACTTGAAGCTTTAGGTTTTTTTTTTTTCCAAGTGTATTCAGCTAAAAATAATTCAATGCTGCAGTGGTGTTTTTGGTGGTGTTATGTTCTGAACTGTTCTATTGACAGGAGGATCTTGTTTGGGAGTAGCATATCTGACCCCCTATGCTTACTTAGCATGGTCTTTGGGGTTGATGCAGCCTCACAGACCGTAATCCAGATTCTGGCAGGAAGTGTGGCACCTCTGGTCCCAAATCCTGTGGTTCTGTGTGCCTACAGTTGAAGCTGGAGGAGAACATGTGTCACCTGCGGGAGGAAGTGAGAAAGACAGAGAAGCTACAAGCCAAGGAGGAGCAGACCTTAGCCCAGTGGCAGGTGGTTCTCCAAAGCCTGCTTCCCATCCCTGTTCCGTTCTCTCTGGGTTTCTATCCCCTCTTCCTTTGCGGTGGGAAATGCCAACAAGAGCGTTCTCATCTTCAACATCCCCCTCACCCACACCTGCTACCGAGAGGAAAATATTCCCTCAGACTCTCTGGGCTCAGGGGTTAGTGCACCTGGGCCAAGGGTTGGTGAAACTGACACAGAGATGAGCAGTAGAGAAAGATGATTTCTAATTGTGTTGGCACACAGGCTGGGGGACCCTCACACAAACATGAAACTCAGAAGGTGGAGTTTTCTAGATCACCAGAGGCTTGGCAGAGACAAAACCACAGGACCTCACTGTATTGTCCAGGCTGGCCTGGAACTCCTAGGCAAAGGCCATCCTGGCAGTGCTGACACACAGGCCACAATTACACCCAGAAAAGGGTTTAGCTCATTTTACATTAGTTCTAGAATCAGGAGACTCTTGTTCTACATAATATAGCAAGTGGGCTGGGCAGAGGTGGGTTTCAAAGACAAAAAGAGCTGGAGTGATCAAAGTCAGCATAGGAAGCAGGTTGGTCATTTAATAGTTGGCATCTTTTTAAGGTAGGAACAAGGAGAGCAACAGGAAGACAGTGATTAGTGAGCACCAAGTTATCCCAGGTTACTTTTGTATAAGGATTTTGTATAAGGATTTTGTATAAGCATCATGATCCATTGGAAGTGGCCAGATGTCTCTAATCCTGGCTTCTAAAAGTTCAACAGCTTTAAGGCCTCTCTTCTGACTTCCGGCCTGGTGTGCAGGGGGCCAGGGCAGGAGTCCAATCCAGAACAGTGACCTCCTATGATTTTTAAGGAACATATCCAAGTGACCCCCTTGGGGGGGGGTCCCTGAGCCTCACCAGTACCAGGGCACACATATTTTAGGGAGTTGGACCGTGCCCCTTGGGGCCCAGTGCATTGTTCCTCTGAGAAGCCCCTGGTTTCTACCTAAAACTCCCAACACCCTTGCTGGAGTTCTGAGGATCCATAGAGCCCAGGGAGATATACTGTGACCCAGAGCATGGCTGTCCTGTGTGGGGACCACATCTCATATGGGTGTGGGCTCCCTGCACTCACAGGACAGAGTGAAGGACCGGAGGGAGAGGATTATGGTGGAGTTTGAGAAAGTGGCCCTGTTCCTGGCAGAGGAGGAGCAGAGACTCCTCCAGGCCCTGAAGAGGGAGGAGGAAGAGACAGCAGTGCAGCTTCGAGACAGCAAGGCCACCCTAGACCAGCAGCGCCGCTCCCTGGACTTGCTACTGATGCAGCTTGAGGATCAGAGCCTGCGGGAGCCTGTACAGATGCTTCAGGTGAGGTCACCCCATGGGCTGTGCCCCAGGATGAGGCCAGGGAGAGGTGTGGTTGAAGTGCATAGGATGGGGAGAAAGAATGCAGCCCAACAGAAGGGTGGGTGACTGTCCCTTTCCCAAATTGCTTAGGCCACAAGAGTCTCAGCTTTCAGATATTTCCAGACTGGGGATATGCGCATAGACATCATGAGATACCTTGAGGTTTAGACTTGTGTTTAAATAGGAAATGCATTTTTGTCTCATGTACACCAAATGCACAGAGCTGCAATGGGACATTATATGGCTTCCTTACTGTGCCTGTGTTTTGACTGTGATACAGCTGGGGTGTGGGATATCCCACAACCTTACTCATCCAGGTCAGTCCTCAAAAAGTTTCAGATTTTTGATTAGGGATCTTAACTGTACTACAGGCTGAGAGGGTTAAAGAATGGAAATTGACTGTGTAAAGTCCTGAGGGCTGGAGGCTATCAGGATGGAGTACAATTGATCCTCCCTACCCTCACAGAGCCACCTTTCACAGGTGTGTGTATATACCCTGATCTCCTCTCTACTGAGGACACTTCTCAGGTTGGATTGGAAACCACCCAAATTAATTCATTTAGCCTAAGCTAGCCTTTTAAAAGACTCTACCTCTCAAATTATGATGGTTCAGCTTGTCCACGGTACAAAAGAAACATGCTTTCAGTAGAAATCAAACTCTAGATTTGGAATTTGGATCTTTCTGGGATAGCAACAGATAAACAACTCTCCCATTATCCACAAATGCCATTGAGCCAAACTAGGGTGCTTAGCCGACCAGAGCTACTAGGCTCACCTTTGTCATTTGAGGTTTTCAACTTCTGGTGGGTTTATCAACACATAACTCCATCTTACATAGAGGATCATGTATATATCACATTCTGAGATCCTGGGGATTAGGAGCTATAAAATGGAGGGGGTGAGTTTTGGAAAAGGCAAACCACAGCATGGCCATTGAACATCCTAAATCCCCTGCAGCTTCTAGGTCAGGGTGTTAAAGTGCTTGGGAACTGCCTGTCCCTTCCAAACTCAGGACCCTTGAGCTGTTATCCCAAACCTCAGCCAGTTACATGCCTAGCCTTGTTTCTCCATGACAGCTCTGTGCATTTGGCTGGTCTGCACCTACTTCAGACTAGACTAAAGAGGAAGATACTCTTATCCAGTCTTACTTTCCAAGGTTTCAGCTATCTATGGTCATCCTCAGCCCAAAACTACTAATTCAAACACTCCATAATTAAGCAATCATAGCTTTAAATAGCACGGAATTGAGCAGTGTGATGAAATCTGTCTTGCATCCCAGCTACTTTGCCCAGCAACCCACATCATGTACACTCCCTGTCCAGTAATCACTCAGTCACCTGATTAACATGGTGGCAACATCTTCAAGTAGCCTCATTTTACTTGAAAATGGTCCCAAAGTGCAAGTATAGTGAAGCTAGCCATTGAGGTATGGCAAAAAGAAACCGCAAAGAGCTTCACAGCAAAGAAGGCCTCCCCCAGCCTTCCACCCTCCTCAGGCGAGTGGTTGTGGTCTGAGAATGATTGGGGTCAGGGTATGCCAGGGCATCCTGATGAATGTGGGAGCTCAGATTCTGGTAGAAAGGACATTTTTAACCTGTCCCAGAGAAGTGGACAACAGACATGGCTTTAAGAAGGACATGGTGGGGGGCAGTTGAGACTTGAGCCCATTCCCTGCTCTCCTCCCTGTCCTCTGCAGGATATGAAGGACACCCTGGGCAGGTATGCTGTCACCGGCAATGGAGGTGGTGGCAGAGGTGGGCCTGGGAGGGCTCCATGTGGGGCCAGAAGGAACAGTGAGCCTATGTCCCCTGGAGGAAGCACAGCTTGAGCGTGCAGTGTCCAGAGGTGGCTGTCCCCACGGTGATCAAGACTATATGCAGGGTTCCTGGACAGAGAGATGTGCTCAGAGGCTTCCAAGGTAAGTGGGGCCTGGGGCCTGGCACCTTACAATGCCCTGCTCCTCCCCCAGATGCCACACACCTGTGGGGCCTTTGACTGGACACTGAATCTGTGCTTCATACACAGCTACCCTCCTCCTCCTTTCCCTGGGTTAAGCCTGTGGCCCTGCTTACCCTCCCTCACAGCCCTATCAGCAGCCACAGGTAGCTGGGGTATGGGGCCATGTCTCCCTGGGCTATCTAGGGGAAAGGGCACCTCTGGGGAGATGGGGAACAGAGGGGCCATTCAGCCTCTAGCTGTCATCTGTCCCAGAACCTCTGGTCCTGACTGGTCCACCTTCTCACCTCCCTGGCTCTGTCTGCAGAGGAAGTGGTGCCAGACCCCACCTCGGCATACCCCTATCTCCTCCTGTATGAGAGCCGCCAACGGCGCTACCTCAGCTCCCTGCCTGAGGCCAGCACTGCCTGCAGCAGGGACCGGTTCCTGGCCTACCCCTGTGCCGTGGGCCAGCAGAGCTTCTCCTCAGGAAAGCACTACTGGGAAGTGGGCATGAACCTCCTTGGGGATGCACTCTGGGCCTTGGGAGTGTGCAGAGACAATGTGAGCCGGAAGGAAAGAGTGCTCAAGTCCCCCGAAAATGGGTTCTGGGTGATACAGCTGTCCAAGGGGAAGCAGCCATCATCCCCAGTGCCCACCACCATGCCTGTCACACTGATTGAGCCTCCCAGCCATGTAGGCATCTTCCTGGACTTCGAGGCTGGTGAGGTGTCCTTCTACAATGTGAATGATGGGTCCCACTTGCACACCTACTCCCAGGCTGCCTTCCCTGGGCCTCTGCAGCCCTTCTTCTGCCTGGGAACACCCAAGTCCGGCCAGATGGTCATTTCCACAGTGACCATGTGGGTGAAGGGGTAGAGGCTTGGTGCAGCAGGAGTCCTCTGTTGCACACAGGGCACTTCCTCCACAGAATCACAATTAAAGTGGTCAAATGTTGGGATCAGATTGGCAGTGCTTTGTAAAGGGAACTGGAAAGAAAGGCAACCACTCCTAATGGGTCAGATCTCCAAATGCACAGCTGTACCCCCAGCACAGTGTGGCCTAGCTGTTTGTTTTGCCACACTGGAGACTGAACTCAAGTTTTTGCACTGAGCTACATTTCATTTTTATTTTGTATTTTGAGACAGAGCTTAAGTCACTAAATTGTCCAGGCTAGGCCTGAATAGGCCTCAGCTTTGCCTCAGCTTTTCAGAGTGCTGGATTATATGCACACCATGGCCCTAGCACAGTGTGGCCTTTTTTTTTTTTAACCTCTGCCTCCTGCCTCAACTTCTTGGTTCCTGGTTCCCCTGGCGCCCTCCTCTGACTACCTGAGAGGCTTAACTCTAAAAAGCCACGCCTGGTTCCTCCCAGCTCCTAGAAGTTGTACGTGAGGAGTAAAATCCAAAGGACAGGGAGAATTTGGGAGTCGCCTCTCCTCGGGCTCCAGCATATTTTCCTAACATCTCCACTCCAAGTTCTTGCTCCCAGCACCCCAAAAGTCCGATCTAATATGTACTGCTTTCCCAGGCGAGGAGGCCTCACTGACAGAATCGTAGCCCCACAGCCCCGGCCCGGTCCCCAGGTCGCGCAGGTGTCAAAGGGCCCGGATCCTTCAGGGCGCGGCAGGGAAGGTGAAGGAAGACGGCTGGGGCTGGCCCAGCTCCTGCTGTCGCTAAGGACCCCCGTCGCCCGCCCCCGACCCCCGACGCGCGCTCGCGCTCCGCCTGCCCCGCGCCGCGTTACCCGCCACAACCAATCCGAGACGAAAGCCGGTTGTTAAAAAAAAAAAAAAAAAAAAACCAGCGCTTCCGGCTTCCGCCGAGGTTCCTCTTCCTGCCGGCGTTCGGAGCCTCTTCCCCGTAACCCCTCGTCGCCGGAGTTCTGGGCCCGGTGCTCGCCATGGCCGCCCCCGACTTGTCCACAAACCTCCAGGAAGAGGCCACCTGCGCCATCTGCCTCGACTACTTCACTGACCCGGTGATGACCGACTGCGGCCACAACTTCTGCCGCGAATGCATCGGGCGCTGCTGGGGCCAGCCCGAGGGCCCCTACGCGTGCCCCGAGTGTCGCGAGCTGTCCCCGCAGAGCAACCTGCGTCCCAACCGCCCGCTGGCCAAGATGGCCGAGATGGCGCGGCGCCTACATCCGCCGTCACCGGTCCCGCAGGGCGTGTGCGCCGCGCACCGCGAGCCGCTGGCCGCCTTCTGTGCGGACGAGTTGCGTCTGCTGTGCGGCACCTGCGAGCGCGCAGGCGAGCACTGGGCCCACCGCGTGCGGCCGCTGCAGGACGCGGCCGAAGAGCTCAAGGTGCGCCTGGTGAGGGGTGCCGGGGGAACGGGATTCTGGGGGAGCGCGGGGATGGGGTGCTGGAGCGTACGAGAGTGCCAAGGATACGCAGCTGGTGCCGGGCCTGGCCTGCGGCTTCGGGCAGATCGTCCACCAATCGGGGTATGACACAGCCTGCCGCAGGCAGAGACTCGGGTGCTCCCTGTCCCCAGCTTGTGCTGCAAGGGCAGGGGTAGGTACGGTGCTGGTGGTTAAGGAAATCATCCCAGTGGGAGGCTGGGATGCCGGGCCCTTAGGGATAGGGGAGGTGGGAAGATGCAGGGTTCGGTGGTGGAGACAAGGTAATGGTGTCAGTCACGGATTAGGAAGGAGCCCCGGCTGGAGAGGCAAAAAGTGAGGCACAAAAGGAGCTGGCCCTACATGGACTCCCAGGGAATCTGTCAAGAGGACTGAGGGTTGTGGGCAGAGACCTATTTTAGGACCAGGGCCTGAGTCCTGGGAAAGCCACTGCAGGGACCAAACTGGACAGTCAGTGCATCCTTATCCCATCCCTTTTGGGGTTTGTGCAGGCTCTGTGTGGGAACTGGGTGCAGAACCTCTGGGTGCTACCCACCTTTGTTTTGGGTTTTTTTTTTTCCTGGTTTGAGGAATCAAATTCAGGACGTTGCGTTTGCCAGAAGAGTGCTGCACCACTGAGCTGTATTCCCAGCCATCACCCACCTTCTTTGCTTGGAAACTAGACTGGTCACAGAGCTAGGGTCATGTCCTCCTGATGTGCCCTGGCTTTTCTTCTCCATGTTGTGGAAGGATTTGCCACTATACTGCATCTCCAGCCCATAAACTTTTCTGCAGTAGTTCATATTTTGCATTACTACAATGTGTACATTGGGTGAGAAGTGGGTCAAATCAACACATAGCTGTAGCTGTAGCTGTATCTAATGCTGGGGTCAGTACTCAGCCATGAGTCCCCATAGAAAGAACTTCAGAATCTAAATCTGAACAGCAACACCCTTTGCCTTGAGTTTCAGTACTAGGTGGCTTAGATGCACGCAGCTGGGACTACAGAGAGATGCCTGTGGGTTTTCTTCTTTCTCCATGCAGTGCCATCTATACCCCAGTCAATCAGCTTGTCAGCTCACCTTCTCACCACCTGGAACTGAGATAGGTGTATAAAGCCCCAAGAACTCCCAAAGCTGACCCACGAGTCCCACGAGACAGAGAGTACTTAACCCTTTCTATGGCAGAACAGAAGAAATGTCTCCTCCATTTTGTGGGGCTTATTGTCTGGGGTCTGAAAATTAAGCTGACACAGGACACGTACAGAAAAGTTTTATTAATATTTTAAAATTTCTTCTAAACAGAGGCTTCACAGAAGAGAGTGAAACATCCAGAGATGCCATTAGATTTGGCCTCACATGGATACTTTTTTTTTTTGTACCAGGAATCAAACTCATGACCTTGCATTTGCCAAGCAGGCTCAATGTCGCTGACCTATATCCCCGGCCCACGTGCATACTCTTTTAATAAAACCTGATAAGCCATGGAAAAGTGAGAGACAAAGAAGGGAGCTTGGATTTCTAAGGCTAACAAATGATGCGGTGGGGAAGCGATGGAAGATTAGGCTGTGGGGGCAGCCCTTTTCCAGCGACAAGTGGTTCAGGGAGGGCATTTCCCTCTTGAAGAGTCAGGCTTGCTTTTAAGTGGTTGCTTCTCCAGTTGCCAAATGAGCGTCTCTGGGTGAGTGTTCTATAGGTGGTAACTCAAGGGAAGGCCCAGTCAACTGCTTTCCCCCTGTAGGTCTGGAGAGCTCAACTGCCGACAGCACTGTCCCTCAACTCACCAGAGTCCCTAGGCCTCACAAGGCCCACTCCTTGCCCGGCCCTGACTTGTGACTGCAAGTGAGCCAAACCTAGACAGAGGCACTGGCCTGGTTATGTGTGGCTTGTGCAGCAGGCACCTGGGGGAGAGAAGAAGGGGATAAAATAGCGGGAGGGGAGAGCATGGGAGAACATAGGCCTGCCCAAGACTCTGGTGTCCAAACTTCAGGCCATCCCCAGATTGCAAAGGCTCATTGTGACCTATCGCACTATACAGAAATACATCCCACTGGAAATAACCCTGTCAGAGTGGGTACATTCCGACTCCTTATGACCTAGTCTGTACATTTATGTTTTTGTTTCATTTTCAGCACTGGGGATTTAACCCAGGGCCTTTGCACCAAGCTGTATCCACAGCTCATTTTCTTTTTTTATTTGGACACAGGGTCTTACTGAATCCCTCAGTTATCTGTGCTGGGTTAGAATTTTTTATCATCCTGCCTCAGCCTCTAGAGTGCTAGGATTATGGGCATGCCGCTACTATACCCAACTCCCAATCTATTCTTTAAAATGCTGCTCAGCATTGAAAATTTTTAAACTCTTTGAGAGGTGGAGATGTTATAGGAGAAGCTTGGAAGTGCTGGGCTGAAGGTGTGCATGGTGAGCTCAGGATAGGGAGCCAGACCTGTGTTTCCAGGTTAGGGAGTCTAAGGACAGGGACCCCAGACCTGGGAACCTACCAGAGTCTGTGTAAGAGCTGATTATGGGCAAGGTGACAGGCTGGGCTCTCCTTGGTGGGCTCCTTGTGCCAACCAGTGGCACAGGCACAGCTCACTGGCACAGAATTCCAAGCCCCCACTCCTCACCTGTCCAGAAGGTGAACGGAGATAATAGGTGTGGCCAGCACAGGCCTATGAAGTAGGAGACCCAAGCAGAGCCACCCAGTCTTGTTGACTGAACTCTTACCCTTCTATGCTACACACAGGACCAAGATGAAAGGGAATGAGACCTGGAGATCAGGAAGAAGAATGCATTCATGGCCTGAGGGTGAAGCAGAAAGTGCAGCAAGATGCTGCAGGACTGGAGGGGAGACCAGATTGAAGGGGAGAGGTAGTGTGGGAGAAACGCCCCCACCAGCTGGTCCCCTGTGAGCTACAGCCACTGATAACTCCTGAGACTGGAGGGCAAGGCTGGGGCTCAAGGTATCGTTTTGGGATATCCTCTTGTGGAGCAGGCCAGGGAGCTCTCAGCTATTCCAGCTCTCAAGCCCCATTTCCTAGCACCATCTCCTTGGGGTAAGATCGCTGTCTAGGAATTTGGCAACACCAGCATTAGCAGCTAACTCAGTGTGGTGCAGTCCCCATGCACTGACTACGTGGGAGGAAGAAGAGGAACGGTGGGGAAGTTGTGTGGAGAGGGGAGCCTCAGAGCCTTTGGAGCCAACTTAGGGCAAGGTTCTGAGTGCTTTCGGGGGTTTCATGGCTCTGTCCTCATTGTATCCCCAGGGAAGGCTAGAGAAGTCACTGGAGCACCTGCGGAGACAAATGGAGGATGCACTGCTGTTCCAAGCCCAGGCTGAGGAGACCTGCGCCTTGTGGCAGGCAAGGACTCCCCAGGGTCCTGGGTGGCGAGTATAGTAGGTGAGGCAGGAGGACAGGACGGCCACCTAGGGTGGGTGAGAGCAGGGAGGCCAAAGGTGTGAGTGTGTGAGCATGCATGCTTGGGGTGGTAAATTCAGTATAGGGGAACCAGGCATGGAAGTCCGGGATGGGTGGCGTGTGGGCAGACCCCAGGTGGTTTGGGGTAAAGGACTGAGGTATTGGGCTTTGGCATGCTATTTGGAGTCTGAGTGGCCTGAGGAGATAGATTCAAAGTCTGACCAGCATTGGGTATCAGGATTGGGGTCCAGTTGGTACAAGATGATAGCTTAGGGTCTGCTGGGCCTAGGTGGCATGTTTGGGGTATGTGTGGCCCCAAAGCTAGATTTGGGGTCTGGGAAGCTCTATGTAGTTGATTTGGGGTCTCACTGGCTTTGGGTTTTGTGTCTGGGCACCTCCAAGGGGTAGGTTTGAGGTCTGGAGAATCGTTAGTAGTTGGCTGTACTTCTGGGAAGCCCCACAGAGTATGTTTGGGGCCTGGGATTTTGTGTCTAGACAGCTTGGAGATTTGGAGCCTGGACAGCCCTGGGTGGGATTTAGGCCTTGGGCAGCCCTGAGTGATGGATTAGGGGCCCAGGCAACCCTGGGTAGTGAATTTGGGGCCAGGAGAGCCCTGGGTGGTGGATTTGTGGTGCAAGTAACCCCAGGAGATGGGTCTTGGCTTCACTGTCCCTTTGACCCTGCAGAAGATGGTGGAGAGCCAACGGCAGAACATGCTTGGCGAGTTTGAGCGTCTGCGTCGCCTGCTGGTTGAGGAAGAGCAGCGATTGCTGCAAAGGCTGGAGGAGGAGGAGCTGGAGGTGCTGCCCAGACTGCGGGAGGGCGCTGTGCGCCTTGGCCAGCAGAGTGTCCAGCTGGCTACACTCATCACTGAGCTGGAGGGCCGTTGCCAGCTGCCTGCACTGGGGCTGCTACAAGTGAGCAGGAAAGGGCTACATGGGATGTCCTCCAAAACTCATAGCACACTGTGCACCTCAGCACACATAGGCACAAACCCTCACCCTGTCTCTTCCCATTGGGCTCCAGCTCTGCTAGCTAGTGTGGTGTCCAAACCAGAACCCTTGGGGCACCCTTCCTCATGACCTGGCACCTGGCCAGGTGGTGCTGGAGAGGATGGCTGTTAGTGTGGGACATCTTCACCCTTCTGTGGACTCCCTGCCTCAGTCTCCCCACCTTGCAGTGGATGTGGGTAGGGCTGAGAGGCCCCATGCCATCTAGGGCTGTCCACCAGCCCTTCTCAGGGCTCGGCTGAATGTTTTGCCCCACAGACACTGTGAAATTCAATCTGTGCTCGGCTCAGTGTAGACATTAGGCTGAGTAGCTCTGACTGTCGTATGGGAACAAGGCTGAGCTCTGTGAGAAGCCTTGTTCTGTGCCTCACCACAGCCTTCCTGTGAGGGTCACCACTGCAAGGTGCCTCTGGACTCAAGAGCTGTCTCAGGGCCCAGCAAGAGGTGTCTTAGGATGGAGACTTGTCTTAAGTCTCAGGAGGATGGGGCCAGATAGAGAAAGCAGAGAGGAATGGGAAAAGAGATCCTTGGTCTGTAAAGGTATCCAGGAGGCAGAGGAGCCCTGGGAAGCAGAAGGCTTTGTGTTTTAAATTTTTTTCAAGTTTTTTGCTTGTTTTTGTTTTGTGGTACTGGAGATGAACCCAGGGGCTTCAAACTGAATCACATCCCCAGCGCTTTTTATTTCTGAGACGATGTCTCACTAACTTGAACCTGAGATCCTCCTGTTCCAGCCTGCCAAGCATTAGGAATTATAGGTGTGCACCACCACAGCTGGCAGGTTTGAAAGTTTTTTTAACTGGCAGGTAACAATTGTACCTATTTATGGCAACAGTGAGATGTTCACACTGAATGTTGACTGAGGTGGGGATGTTGGCACTTCCATCACCTAGTCGTTTGTCATTTCTTCATGGTGAGACCATACAGTTCTCTTCCAGCTAATTGGATTTTATTTGACTAGAGTGCTTTTCTCACCCTGTGTAGGCAGCTTCTCTCACTGAGATGCACCTCAGTTGTCTTCATTACTCTTCGTGTTGCCAAGACACAATACCTGGCACCCACAACTTAAAGAAGGAGAGGTTTATTTTGTCTTATGGTTTGTAATGGTTTCAGTCCGTAGTTGACTGGCTCCACGGCAGGGCAGCATGCAGAAGGGCATCACAGAGAGGATGCTTATGGCATGGCAGGCAGGAACCATGAAACCATAAAGGGAGGAGGGAAGATAGACCTTTCCAGGCCACACCCACAGTGATCCACCTCTTTCTACTAAGCTTCACCTCCCAACATCACATGCAGCTATATGGTTTTGTTTGTTATAAGGAATTGAATTATGACTTTATGCTTGCTAGGCAGGCTCTGTGCCTCTGAGCTATATCCCCATACCCACCTATAAACCCATCAGTGGACTAACCCAGTATCACACCCATGACCAGTCACCTCTCAAAAACCTCACCTATGAGCTCATGCAGCTCTGAGGAGACATCTAGATACAAACGGTAATACTAGTCCTTTTGATTTCATTTTGAGAGAGGGCCTTAATAGGTTACACAGCCTGGCCTTGAGCTTGCAACCCTTTTACTTCAGCCTCCTGAGTAGTTGGGATTACAGGCCACAGTTACCTTCCTGTGTGGTAGGATACCAGAATAGCAGAAAAGTCTTAGGAGCGAGAGTGACTTGGAAATGGGGAAACAGGTGGGTATTGAAGACAAGATTATGCTGCTTAGCTAAGACACTGTGGTAAGACGTCATCATGAATATCAGACAGTGAGATGTGGGAAGAGCATCCAGGCATAGAGCAGAGGCCATGTGCCTTCAGGGAAACTGAGGGGGCCAGTTCCTGAGAGGCAGAGACACCTTTGGCTAGTGCTACCCCATTCCTGGAGACAAGACACATGTCTGGCTGTCACTGACACCTAGGATATCCACCTGGAGTTCTGAGGGAAGGCCTTGCATCATGACTATAAGGAAGCACCCATGCCCAGGGCTCATTTCTGACCCCATCTGTGTGTGTTTCTGCTGCCCAGGGATGGGAGAGAGTGGTGTGGCAAGCATTGGTACTAAGCATGTGTTTCCTCTCTTCCAGGACATTAAAGATGCCTTGCACAGGTACGAGCCACTGTCCCTCCCTCAGGCAGGCAGGCAGGGGTTGGGGGGAGCTGCAGTCACCAAGGTGAAGCCAAGCTGTCCCTATAGGATCCAGGATGTGAAGCTGCAGCCCCCGGAGGTGGTGCCCATGGAGCTGAGGACCGTGTGCAGGGTGCCAGGGCTGGTGGAGACGCTGCAGAGGTTTCGAGGTGGGACCAGAGGGTTCAGGCAGATGGGGGACCCGGGAAGGGTGCTGTGGAGTACCTGTGAAGCCTGAGATGTGTCTTTTGGTCTGGCCACTGGCCCCACACAGTCTGGTTGGGACAACGGGTGGCCAACACATGCTCCAACTCCCTGGCCCGTTGTGGACATCCAACCATTCAGTTCAGTTCTGACATTGTCTCTGGAGTTCCCCAATCCCTGCTTCAGACACCACTGAAGTAAGATCTAGGGACCCCAAACTGCCATCCGACCTGCTATAAGTCAGATTCTAACAGTTCTTGCCCCATGTTCAATAATTTGGTAGGACGACTTAGGAGATCCAGGAGAACTGGTCTGTTGGTTACTGTAAAACACAGCCAATAAACCGTGGGGTAGGAGCAATGTGTGGGCGTGGTCTGTGTTGGGCACCACCCTCTGCGCCTGGCTGTGGAGAGGCCGTAGGCCTCAACCGGCAGTTTTCTAGGAGGTTCTTCTCCATCGGCATGATCGCTTAAATTATCGATCACTGGTGATGATCAACTTCCAGCCTCTACCCACTCCAGATCTCAGTTGGTAGGGGATGTGGACCGTCCAACCCTCTCACTTGATGCTGATCCTCTGGGTGAGCAGCCCTGTCCGTCCCAAGGAATATGTTGAGGTGTGGCTGGAGGAGTTACCAATGAGAACAGGAGCCAGGGACACAGGCCACATCCAGTCTTCCTGCTTTACCATGGGCATGCCAGAAGAGTCCTAGCCTCAGCCTGCTGGCTATAAGCATAGGACCATGCCAGATCGCAGAGGTACTGACCAGTGGTCACCTGTCACATGGTTAAGTGTAGATAGCCATTGTTCCTTTCAGAAAGAGAGGACCAAACCTAGCCAGAACTCTCAGGTGAACAAAAGTACTGCTTGTCATTCCTCATGTCCCCTGAGGGAGATCAGACTGACCTGGCACATTCTGAGTGGCAGCTGGAAATGGCTGAATGACCTTGCTCTGGAGAGGGGAGCAATGCAGGATGCTGGGGAGGTTTTTGCCAATAGGGCCTGACCCAAAGGTGCTGGCTTTAGTGCCACCACGCCTGGGTGACCTCGGGTCTTTCTCCACAGGTGATGTGACCCTGGACCCGGACACTGCCAATCCCGAGCTGGTACTCTCTGAGGACAGGAGGAGTGTGCAGCGAGGTGATCTGCGGCAGGCTGTGCCTGACATCCCTGAGCGCTTTGACCCTGGACCCTGTGTGCTGGGCCAGGAGCGCTTCACCTCAGGCCGCCACTACTGGGAGGTAGAGGTTGGGGAACGCAGCAGCTGGGCCCTAGGCGTGTGCAGGGACAATGTCAACCGGAAGGAGAAGGGCGAGCTGTCGGCTGGCAACGGCTTCTGGATACTGGTGTTCTTGGGCAGCTACTACTCCTCCACCAAGCGGGCCTTCTCCCCAATGCGGGACCCTCCAAAGCGTGTGGGCATCTTCCTGGACTATGAGGCTGGACACCTCTCTTTCTATAGTGTGACGGATGGATCGCTGCTGTTCATCTTCCCTGAGACCACCTTCTCTGGCACCCTGCGGCCCCTCTTCTCACCCCTGTCAAGCAGTCTGACCCCTCTGACCATCTGCCAGCTAAAAGGCAGGTCTGGGGACACCTTGGTTTCCCAGTGACTCTTAGGAGTCCCTTTGCCTCTGCTGGCCTGGGCTCTGCTTTTGGATCTGTTCATTTAAGGCCTTTGGAGGAGGGAACATATCCTTTGAAAGATGGGAGGAACACAGTGCTTTTCTGAACGTGATTGGGAAAACCAAATTTGAGGTGACTATATGTAAGTGTGGCACCAGCAGCCTTCATCCAAGCACAGAGCCCTGGGATTCAGAGCCTGCCCAAGCTGCCATGTCACAGGATCTTCAGGCTGCAACCAGGCCTCCCACCCCCATGTACTGCACCTTGGTGAACACTGGGGAGGAGCAGGGTTTGGTTCCATAGATAAGAGTGCTGATGGAAGATGTCACTGCCCTGAAAGTGGTCACTGCAGAAGAGGGCAGACAGCACTCAGTATTTAAGGGAGATGAGCTGGGGTGGGATTAGCAAGGGGGAACTATGTATAGGCATCTGTGAAACCGAACTCTGGCAGAGACTACCTGAACACATGTGGGAGAGGAGTGGGAGAGACATTGAAATGTGTACAACTATGAAGCCTTTCGGGACATCTCAGGCTGACTTGGCCTCCTCTAAGGACTCCACGTGTGCCCCATCTGCTTTGTAGAAGGGTGGGGCAGAGAGCCCAAGCCTACAGAATCCAGGAACTGCTGTAGTGTGTGGATTGAGGATTTAATTCCTCTACTTTATTTATTGTAAGAACAGCATTTCCCTAAATAAAAGTTGTTACCTCCAGTTCTGTCCCCTACTTGTGCTGTGAATAAATGACAGGAACTGAGAACCAGGCTCCAGGGAGGAGGTGGTAAAGGGACGAAGAGGCTCTGGCTAAGTGGCAGCTGCTTCCCATCCAGGGCTGAGCCCCACTGGTTCTGCAGCACGGGTGCTGAATCTGCGACTACTAAAAAATCTTTTAGGTTACCCGGTGTGCATTTCCTGTGATCCCTGTGTTTGAGGAGCACTTTCCCTACGTCATAGTTCATTTGCATTTCTCCCAGGAGTGAACTTTATTCTTGCTGGGCAACTGGTCTTCACCACCACTTTGAACCAGGCATTAGCAGTGATTGCTGCTTACACCTAAGCATGAGGAAACCCAGCTTAGGGCAACTTCTCCTTGAGCAGTGTTGCTTTCTTCCCATAAGTAGCTACAGCCTGGCTGGTCAGTGTCAGAGACAGGGAACAGTCTGTCCTAGGTGATGCTGACCCCTTGGTGCTCAAATGTGGCCCCAGCAACCAGGTAGAAATAACGCTGGGTGTGATCTAGGAGGAGCATGATCACAGAGCACAATGCTAATCATGCCTTTGGAGAAACTTGGGCAGTACTTCATCCACTTCCATGACTCTTTAGCACAAACTGATGTTGGATGTCAGATGTTCTCTCTCATAGGGAAACACTGGTGGCCTGGCAAGAACATCCAGCATCTGACTAGGGAGCCTGTGTCAGAATGGATGACACTGAATAGTCTTAAGTTACTTATCACAAACTACAAGTGATGAGGACCCCACTAGCAGTGTTAAACTTTACAGTAGCAGCACTAAGTCCTTCACTAGCAATTATGAGTTCTTTAATAGCAATGGTGAGACCTACATTACCTGTGGTGATCCCTCAGTAGAAGTGGTGAGTCCTTATACTAGCAGTCAAGTCCCACAGTAATCTTGCTGAGACCTACACTAGCTGTTAAGGGTCTTCCACTAACCCTGGTGGGTCTAATCACAGTAGTATGTCCTCCACTAGCAACGGTGATTCCTTCAATAGAAGGTGGGTCTTGGTGAGTTGTTCACTAGCAGTGTAGAGCCCTATACTAGCAGTTGTGTATTTTTCACTAGCAGTGTTGAGTACTTCCCTTACTGTACTGAGAGTTTCAGTCTCAGAAGAGACTAGACTTGGACTTAGCACTGCTGAAACTGTTAACTTTGACAACTCTTACAGATGAATTAAATGTATTTTAGATAGAGATGCAGGTGAATATTTTGGGGACCAAGGGTAGACTGTGCCCCAATAGCTTCATCTGCTCATAGTTAGGACTTTTGAAAGAAAATTGGGCCATTAGGGTGCTATAGTTGACTTGCTGTTAGGAGATAGTACCTAGTTGGGGGAGGTATCACTAGGGGATAACCTGGAAGGGTATATTTCCCTTCTTAACTCTTCTCTGCTTCCAGGCCACTATGATATGAGAACCTATCTTCCCTCACACCCTTTTACCATGCCATTTCTGTGTTTAAGCCAGCCATACGTGTACTGAAACTTCTAAACCATGAGCTGAAATAATCACTTGTAAGTGGTGGGTGTAGGGTAGTTTTACCTATGACAAGGATATTTTGTCCTATGAAAGGATAGTGACTGAGACAACTACATTAATATAGTAGGCAAGATGTAAAGTGGGATCAAAAAACTCAAAATATGGGGAGGAATGCTGTGTAAACATAAAGTATTCTTATTACAATAGTTATTTTCTCTTGTTTTTCATTTATTTCTATTCTTTTTAGTGATGATGTTAAGTTGCTATCATTTTGAAACAGTTATAATCAGATTTCTTAAAATCTACATGGTAACAACAAAATATGTAATAGACAAACCAAAAAAAAAATTAAAATATACAACTAGAGTAAATCACTAACCACAAAGGAAGATTACCAGGCAGAAAGAAAATAAGAAAACTAGGAAACTGTTGTACCCCAAAAACGAGACCCCAAAATGTTGTCCCAAAAATGGGGCAAGATGTCTTTTTAAAGAAAAAGCACTTTTATTTATCCAGGTACTAGCGACACAGTTGGAGTTTGCAAAGCTGTGTAACAGGCTTAAAATTTTGACAGACTTTTATAGAAAGAACAATGAAAAAGGCCTTCATTTCCCTTTGCTTGAGGACAGAGAAGTTTCACAGGAATTTGCAGTCCTTGGTCAGCTAAGAAATAAGGAAGACCTTTGTTTGCCCTTGCTTGAGGGCAGAGAAGATTCTCAGTTAGTGGTCAGCCATTTCCTTCTTTACAAGAATTGACAGCCCTTTGCTAATTTCAGGATCAACTATCTTTCACAAAAGGGGACAAAAGTCGAGAGGAATCTATATTCCTCTCGAGTTACCTATGTAACTTGAGGTTGACAATTGTCCTTTGCAAAGGGAACAAAGGTTAACACAGCAAACAGGTTACCAAGGTGACGGCATTTTACAACAATGTGATCGGTGCCCCAGGGTGTCTGGTTGTAGAAAATAGTTGCATTTGTGAAGGGAATTAACAGGTAATTTGTTCATACAACTTGGGCATTGGCAAACAGCACAAGATGATGGAGCTGTTTTTTGCTAGTGTACAGCAGAAACAAGTTACAAAATGGCTGTAATAAACCTTATTTGTCAATAATTACAATGGTAAATGGACAAATTCTCCAGTTCAAATAAGAGACTGACTGTACAAAAAAAACAAGACCCAAACGTAGATCCTTGTAGTCAGGGGAATAGATTTAATACAGGACATACAATTTACAGGATTATAATAGTCACTCAAAGAGTAAAATGTAGAAAGAGTACCAGAAGTCTGTCCAGACACTAGAGACTCAAAGAATCCAGCTGAAAGCCTGGATCCCATGGCAATCTCCTGCACAAGTCCAGCTGAAGACCTAAAGCCAATGGCAATGTCTTCTACTAGCTGGTGGCCTAGAGCCCACGACAATGTCTCATGCAAGTCTGTCCCAAGGATATGCACTGGGAAGTCCCAAAGGCCTGTGGTGGAAGCTAGAAAGTGTGCCAGCAAGATGAAGGATCTGTGTGTGCCAGCAGACTGAGGGATCTGAACTGAAGCCAGGAAGTGATGCTCAAGCTAAAAGCCAGAGTTCCCCTGAAGAGACCCACAGCCATTAGGGACATCAAGGACCCAAGTTCCTCTGATGACGAGAACAGCTGAGTTCATATCAGGAAAGTCAGTGTGACAGGCTTCTTTAGGAGAATCAACAGTACACTATTTTACACTCTGGTCCTTTTGATGCTGTTGGCAACAGTCCTCATGTGACACTTCCACACCTAGAACCATGCTGATTCAGTTCAGCTGGGTGTTACAAGTTGACCATCACACTTTTTATTGCTTATAAGAAACTTGCTCCACCTCTAAGACACACAGACTAAGAGTGATGGTAGAGAATAAGCTATCCCCTGCAAATGTATCCCAAAAGTAAACAGAACTTGTCACATCAAATAGGCTTTAAGTTGAACATAGTAAAGAGGGCTGGGGATTTAGCTCAGTGGCTCAAGTGCTTGCCTGGTAAGTGCAAGGTTGTGAGTTTAATCCCCAGTACCAAGTAGTAAAGAGAGACAGGGAAAGTCATTGCATGTGACGTACCCCAACATATACAGGAAATATTAAAAGAGAAAGATAGACTCCAACAAAAATTCATAATGGGTTTTAACATTGCCCACATTCAGCAATGGACAGATTATCCAGCCTGTTATAACTCGGGCCCCGGTATAAAATCCAAGGAAGCAAGAGACCGAAAATTTAGGTAGCAAAGGCTTTATTTCCAGGCCTGGCGACGAGTCTCCGGGAGCCAATTTGGAGACCGTGTCTCAGAGACTGAAGGGAGGACTTTAAAAAGAGGCTGGAGGAAAAAGTGGGGGGAGAAACAAAGAAACCTGCAGAGCCGTCAAACTTGTTGACCCAAGTCTGGAAACTGTATTGCTGTCCACTTAGCTCTGACAATCTCGGGAGTTTCTGGTGTTTCTCAAATTACTCCCATCCTACAGACTGACATTATCTCGGAGTGGCACATCTGCAGCAATATTTGGAGAAGAAAGTGGAGAGTTAATTATCCCAGGACAGCTCGTTTTCGCTAGTGGGTGCGAAGGGGTCAAGAGTTACAAGAAGCTGAAACTTAAGTTTTACAAAGATCTGATATCTAACTCATTTGATGCATACAGAACAAAAGGAAAGCACCTATTGGGGTTTGGGCCATAGTATTTCCCGGCAATTTCTTTGATGCTAAACAGTTCTTAAAATTGGGGCAGGCTCATTTTATGACAGATCATCACCGGGTTGGGAAGAGGTCACCAGAAACCCAAATTCTTTATGGCCTAGATAGATAGGTGAGGGGAGAGGGAGGCAATAAGGTGCCATACAGAACAGAAAACGGCGGTTATGTGTCAAGGTCAGGTAAAGGGTTAAACTCATACGCAAATCTCTCTGCACACAAGCAATTTACTTCAAACAAGTGTAAATTAGTGGGCCATCCTAGTTTTCTTTAGCTCTTTAGCGGAGAATAGAGGCGCCTAACAGCGATTAACAACCCTTGTTAGCTTGTTTTAGCACAACTTCTGTAGTTTGTAGAGGGCAACAATGGTTAACATATCAATTAGGTGAGATTCTTGCAATTCTTTACAGAGGAGAGTATTGCTCAACATATCCATTAGGTCATTTAACATATCAGTTAGGGAAAAAGGATAAAAAAAACACATTTAGTAAGCCACGTTGCAGGTTTGCTATAGTACACATATAACGAAGTTATTTTCTTAGAGTACAACACAGCCAAAAAGTCAACAGTGAGGCAGCAAATTTTAAATGCACCCTAAATCCAAGCTAACACATCTAAAGAATATTCCACCTAATGGCTACAGGACACGTATTTTTCTCACCATCACATGGAACATTCTCTAGGCTAGATCACATGATAAGCCATAAATAAGTCAAAAAAAATTTTTAAATTAGAATTACATGAAATATGTTTTATGACCACACATGCATTGAAACTAAAAATCAGT